AACTGATCTTGACTCTGGCATACCGGCCTTTTATTTTTAAGTCAGCTTGTTCGTATTTCGTCTCAAGAAGATTACAGCTGTCGAATCAGGAATGAAAAAGTTCTCTTCTTCATTGGTATCGCTATCTTTCATAGGAATAGATATGCCGTCCTACTCCACTGACATGGTAGTGAATCGAACTTAAATCCTAGATCGGAGAGAATGTCTCGACCTATGATCATGTCATACGCCCCCAAGCTCTTGGTGACGTGTAAATCCCATTCGATACTTCTATCGTCATGGAACTCAGGAATCATAAAGGCACCTTTACAGTTCGTGCTGGTGTTTAATTCTTCTCCTGCAGGGGTAGTCCACATGGTTTGGACGCCCCCAAGATCCTTCATGCGTAATTTCTTAGCATGAGTTTGAGCAATCAAAGTTCCGGATGCTCCTGTATCCAGTAAGCAACGGAGTGTAACGGGATTTGGTTTCCCTTGTTCTCGTCTGTTAAATCTTACATAGACGATAGGTTTGAGGTCTCATGTTTTGTTTACGAGGTGGTTGGCCACGGACGAGGTTAACAATGCTAAATAGATCGTCAGAATCTAATTGAGCAGCTTCTAGGCAATCATCTAATTTGCCGTAGACTTCATCAGTTGCAAACAATTCTTGTTTACTAGTTAGTGAGATATCTTCATCACTTAGGTATGAGAAATCAGAACATGGTTCCGTTGAATCATCATCCTGGCCTAATCCTCAGACGGAGATTTCTCCATCCGATTGATTGAAATCGAAGTCGGCAAGAGCCATGTCGACTGCAGCCATCTTTTTGCCCATCATGTTAAGGGACCCGACAGAGGAGTTGTCCTCGTTGTCGGAGTCATCCGACTTGCGCTTGGCAACATGGTTGCATTCGCCTTTCTTCTTGCGATCGGCCTTAACGGCAGCGGTGGAAACTTTCTTCATCAGGACGGAAAGTTCCTTCTTGGTGTAAGATATGGCATCATCAGACTTACGTTTCCAAGTCTTGTTCTTGTTGTACGCTGGCTTGTTGTCGTTGCCAGACAAAGACTTGGACTTGAGTTTCTTGAGAGTCATGGAATCAGCAGTATCGTGAGTGCTGGACTCGTGGTAGTCACACCATTTTCCTTCGCTCTTGGAGGTGTGGCTGTTGTTGCGGCTAGATTTGTACTTCTTGCTATTGCTCTTCTTCGAAGGAGCTTGCTTGGCATCACTGCTCTTGTCAAAGTCTTCAGTGGATTCCATGCACTCACAGAATCCAATGAGAGCCTGCATCTCGGCATTGAAAGGATCGAAGTCGTGTTCGTCCATCTTGCGCATCCAGGAACGAGGAATGCCATGACAGATGATGTCAATGAATTCGTCCTGGTTCAATTGTTGGTTGGCACCAAAAGATGGCAAACGAGGGAGTTCATTGGTGTTCATCCGAGTGAGGTTGTTAATGTAGGCGCGAGTTGTCATCTCGCTAGGCTTGCGCATCTTGCGACGCATGAAGCATTTCTGTTTTTTGAGAGCCTTGTAAGGACAGGCTTGTTCGATAACCGCGTTAATTCCAGTGGTGATTTAGCGCGGGCTCTGCTGCACCGTCCCATGCGGTTTGAATACAAGCGGTGTACATTGCTTCAGTTTCTGCTATAGGATGGCGTGCTGGTTCTCGCGACACAGCGATTTGCCGAAGGGCGTTGTGGCGCACGGCACGACTGCCTGCACATCCAGCCTCGTAGGCACTCTTTGCAGAGCTGGAAGTCATCTCCTTGAGAAGACGATGTTTGTCGTCGGCACCTGCAAGGTTGAGTCCGACGAAAACCTTCTCCATATTCGTGGCCCACTTGATGGTCTCACGTGGAGTGTTGGGGCCATTGGTGATGGCTACCTTGAAGGTGTACTTGGCACTGTTTGCGTCTGCAGGAATAGAGCGAAGTTTGTAGGTGGTGGCACAAGAATCGTCGATCTCGATGTCTTCGTCATTGTCGACGAGAGGAAGAATGGGTTTGTCACGCAACTGTTTCTCGAAGTTGCTGAACGCATGCTTTCCTTAAGCAATCTTCATGGTGAAGGAATAGGTTGAGGGTAGCTGAAAGCTATTATGTTTGTTAACAAAATGCACTACGCTAAAAGCTAGTGTAAAGATCTTTCGAGTGTTTTGAGTTTGAGAGTGAACGTTATGAGAGAGATTAGAAAACTAAGAAAACTAATCCATGAGAGAGATCGTTGTGAAGCTCATTGAAGTTGGTCTCCCGCGGGAGGCCTCGAAGTGTGATATCGTAGGTTATGGTAATAACTCTACGTACTCCACGGTCCAATTCCGGAACACGTGGAAACTTCAGCTAGTAGCTGTCTAGTAGCATGGAAGCTTTCCACACAGGCTAAATATCTAGAACGATGTTTCATCGACAACCTAGCTAGTATGACTAGCAGTCATGAGAACCCTGTCCTCTCAATGACTATTCGCGAGGGACTACGTCACGAGTCGAACTCAAACCCTATCTAGGATTGAGTCGCGAATAAGGCTAAGAGCTGTGTATTGCATCTGGTGCTGAGTGGCTTGCTGGGTTCTTCTAAATCTTGTTCTTGTTCGCTTTGGTGACTCGGCAGGCGTCGAAGGGAGCTTTGTCGGCCGGAGTATCGGGAATTGAGGCATTTGAGGTCAAATTGACATTTTGATGTCAATCATGGAATCAAGACTCAATTTTGATTGATTTTGACATTTTTTGATTTTTTGACAGTCAAAACGGTTCAACACATGTCAACATCAAAATTGACAAGTAGACGCAAATCAGCAAAATCAACATCAGTCAGCATCAGTCAGCATCAGTCAACACTGTCAATTCTTTTTTTTGATTTGTTGATACTTTTTTTGACTCAACACTGATTAATGTTAATCAAAATTGTTCAAGATTGACAAATTGACATTTGATTTGATGACAACAACACACACTCATCAAAGGGCCGACTATGGCAGATGGTGGCAACAATCGCACTAGCTAGCATTAATAGGATGATACCCTTATAACCTGTGGCTCCGCGGTCGGCAGAAGTATCGATGCGCCGAAATCCAATTTGATGGGGCGTGTGCAACCGAAAGAAAATCCATCAGGAGATTGGGAGCTCATCTGGACAAAGGAGAATTGTTGGCTCTTTGTAGTCGATCGACCACTCAGTACCGGTACAGTCATAGGAAATCTGCCACTTGTTTCATTAATCGCATCACTAGCAGAGGCTCGCGGCAGAGGCTCACAGACACTCTGTGGTCCATGGTACATCCTATGCGAGTAGCTGCCGCTTGTTGCTATCATCGATCCACCGCACGAAAATGACACTTCGGAGGAAGCGATCATCTTAGAACCGTCAATCCGTCTCATATCTGTCAATTCGTAGGTTGTGACGCTGCCGCTGTTTCCAGCCTACCGTTATCCAAATAAGAGGATCCTTTTATGGTGGAGTAGTAGTAGCCATGAAAGGGGAGTACCGGTAGCCATGAAAGAGGAGTAGCCGTTGTAAAAAGGAGATAATAACATCGTGTGATGGAGTAAAGGTGTCCCATGGTTGTGTCAAATGGTCCTGTCACAACTGTCAAGGAACATCAAAATTGATTCAAAGAAAACTGTCAACATCCAATTGAGGATTTTTTTGAGTCAACATTGATCAATCAGAGTCAATTTGAGTCAATTTGATCAGTTTGATATTTTGATGTCAACACTGACAAATTGATTCTTGTTGACATCAATTGATCAAATTGATCAACATTGACAAATTGACGGTTTTGAGTCTTGTCAAAAGTGTCAGTAATCATCAATTGACAATATTGACATCAAAATGTCAATTTTACATCAAATGCCTCATTTCCCGATACTCCGCCGTGGAAAAGTGCGCGTGCAGAGTGGAGCCTGGCAAGGGCTGGCAAACCGAACTTAAGCCTGGCAAATTGTAGGTACAGGATGTAGGGCGCGTGCTGCATTGGATTGAGGTTAACCGTAACGGCTGGAGTCTCCTAATTAAGTGATTCCTCCCTGTACCGGGGCTACGCGGTGGCTCCGTGGCCTTCCACCTCCTCCCCCCATGATATTTATCGAATCGGGTTGGATTAATTCTACTTACAGTGACATTGTTCAAAGAAACAGCATCGAACCGAGCATCCTATAGCAAGGCAACCCGATCAGCACTGTCAAGACCTTCTGGACACAACACTGCAGCCTATGCAATAGGGAGCGACTCGATACTGAAACCATTCAGAGAATCTCTGGAAAAGCTAATCAACTCCTGCAAGGACATCTACGGAGCCTGCCAACACAAACCACAATTTCATAAGTACCGCAATAGCCCAAGCACTGATGATTCCCATGGGGGTGAAAAAGTCAAACAACCGAAAAGTTACCACAGAGTGAAAGCTCGTGTTTCAGCCATTCGCCAGTTTGTGAGTATGTACTTAGTTCAGCCACTTTTTGCTAAAATCGTATGTACATACAGTTGCAGTACGGAAGCTGGGCCTGTCACCCAGACCCATTGGATGAGCTGAGCTAGCTACCGGTAGCTAGTAGCCGACCAATAATGGCAGAAGATTCTTGACAGGTAGCTAGCTAGCTAGATATATATTATAGACAAATGGTAGCTTCTCATCCCTCCTCGCAGAAGTCATGGCACTTGCCTGAGGCCCGAGGGAACCAGCGGACAAGATGGGTCGGCATGTCTTTTCCAGTGGTACAGATCCAATATTCCATGGAATCGAGCCATCTTGTACAGTGGTCGAAGACCCAATATTCGCCGAGGCAAGTGGTCTTCGGCGAGCTGATGGCCTGAGTTACGAACGGTGGTAACCAAGCTTGGGTTCGTCCTGTGTCCTGTATCGGCAATCCATTTTGTTCTCATCTTGCCTTGGATTCTTGGCGGACGGTCCCGCCCCCCCACGAAGGACAACTACATCCTGGAAGCATCGCGGGCCGATAGGCTTGGGTTCGTCCTTTGCTAGCTCCCAAGGAGTTTCGTGCAGCTATTGGCATCATCGCATGAAAGTATTTTTAAAAGTTACAAAATAATACTAGAACAACCTCTTGTCTGTTAAAATTCGAAAGCAATGCCTGTACGTTATGGAGAGAACATGCAAGTGATCCAATCAATCTTGCTGGTGTTCGGTGTTCGCCTCACATGAGGACATCTTTCTTGAGGTGTTCAGTTTTGGGTGCTATGCTCTTCTCTAGCATGGTTGCTGCTTGGAACGCCAGACTGAGTTCCTTGATTCGTTGCGCTCGCTCCAAGGGACTCTCTTCTACCTTCTTGGCTCCGCTTTGTCGCCGACTGCTTTTGCGAGGGCTTTTGCGAGGACTACTGTTGTCGTTGTTGCTGTTGCTGCTGCTATTGTTGCTGTGCTCCACGCTACTAGTACCAGTACGACGACCGCCATGGCGTCGGCCTCGTCGTGGTGGTCCTGCTTCTTCTGATTCGCGGGATCCTCTCGGTTTCAAGTCACTCTTAGTTCGTCGTACCAATCGTCGATCCTCTGGGGTTTGAGATGCCAGAGCCGCAACAGCCTTTTTGGCAGCGCCCTCTAATGACCGGCTCTTTTTGGGCAATCGATTAGTTTTGGCAGGTGCGGTTCCACTGATTGTGCTTCGTCTATTGGTAGAAGGAAGCGATAATCGTGCTGCTATCTTTTGCTCCATGGACTTGGCGCTCTCGAATTCTTGTCGAATCGACATCGCCGTCTTGACGGAGGAAGGGAATGCCGCTACATCCACTGGACTGTGATCCGTTCCCACCGACATGTCTTGAGAGAAATCTCCTTCTTCCGAATAGTAGTCGCTGCCATCGTCGCCGTCAAAGCTGTCCCAGTCGGCAGTAAAGTGCTTATCTTGGCGGCTCATGGTGGATGATTAGGATTGGACCTAGCTAGCTAATGACAGTATATATGGACCTTCGAAAGGCGAGAGACGAGATTTGTGATAGTGCAACACGTCGCGAGTTTGTTTGTTTTTCGCACCACCTCGTGGTTCGTTGGTTTGGTTCACTTGATGGTTCATGCTGGGACTACGACCAACCAGTTTCAGCCAGGAGCTACAAATTAGTGACTGTGACCCTTCTCATCTTAAGAAAGAATTCCACTACAAGATCAAAGGGGGTAGGAGCAATAATTGGAGCAATCAACCAGGATGGAAGAAAGTCCTAGTAAACAAGCAGATGACTCTTTACTACAAGTATGATTTAATAGCGGTCATCTTCTTTAGGTTACAGGCAGTTTGAGACACGCTGTGGGACTGGACTACTCTGGAGGCAGCACCGTAGCAATGATAGCTACATGTAGACAAAGTCCACTTGGCAGATGCAAGACATCCTTGGTTTCAGTTGTGCACGCCACAACAGCGAGTAAGAAACTGGATAACAAGCACTAGGTGTCATGGAGAAGAAGAGCCTTCCTTTGCTGTCTAAGTCGGCGTCCAAATACCTGCTGAGCCTTCGCCAAAGGATATTTCAAGAGATGGTATCTTCCAAGTTTATGCCATCAAGGAGGAAGCCCATTCAATGGGCAATGGTATTGCGAAGACAAAATCCTACAGAAAGAACAGAGAATGGGAATCCCAGCCAAAAATACTGGTGCAGGCTTCAGAAGTTCTTTGGCTGCCCTCAAACGGAGCAAGGAGCACTAGGTACATGTACTGTGTCGCTCCAACGGACGACTGGAGCCTAGTAGCAAAGCTAGTCCAGCAACTGGTGTGTTTGGTTTCGTGATCTGGTTTGCTCATCAGGTGTGAGTTCAAGAGAATGAATGGTTCAATCGCGGTGTTCGAAGATGGGCC